AGTGGAATAGTAGGTTATAAACCATTGTATACAGAATACAAGCCCACTTTTGTCTAATATTATTTATATATGACTACTCATACAGAAAAAAAAAATTACTGGAAGGGTTTACACCAAGTACACTCAGTGGTTATCTCTGAGTGGAGGAATTGAGTGATGTATTTTTTCTTCTTTGTGGCTTGTCCACTTCTCTGTTTCCCTAGTTTTCCACAGGCATCGCTGTTACACTCAGTGACGAGAAGCCTGGGGGCAGTGATGAGGAGGAGTTCATGAGATTCTAGAGATGTTGAAAGCATCCTGTACTTTCTGGCCTGTTTTCCTTCTTTATTCATAGCTCTCCCGGGGCTTTCATTCCTCCCTTGATGTGCAGCACAGCCCGATCTGCTGCGGGTTCCTGATGCTCTAGATAGCAGCCAACTGGCAGAGGCAGAGATTGTGTCCTTCTTTCTTAAACGGGAAAACATTGCCTGTTTCTTATCAGTACTAATAAATATGTGTCAAAATATTCTAAATAATTGTATTGCTTAGATTTGTATTCATTTGGGATGGTGAACCTGTGGAATAAAAAAGGTCTTATTTTACACTTTCATAGAATGGTATTTTACTATGAGTAATTCCATTTAACTGTAACGTGAACCCCAATTTCAAATTCACTGACAAGGCATTTCAGACCTAGAACAAGCCGCCATCAATCAGGTTAGCAAATCAGAGCCTAGCCTTCTACTATCTAAGTTAGCATAAATCCCTCTTGGAAAAAATAGAATTTGAATGAAATGAATGAATATGTGTAAGACCATGCATTTTTTTACCTGATAAAAAGCTTTCGAATTTAAAATAGAGAGCACGGATGTTCTTAGTTTTCTGAACTAAAACAGTTGAATTGTGGTTGTAATGCTGCCTTTCTCCAGCCTAGCAAGAACTCTATATCTAACTGTTTGAGACATGTTGTGTAAATGAACAGGTACAGCCCTAAGACTATATTCTAAAAAGAAGTTGCAGGTAGTTTCAGTTGTTTAAGTCTGTCACACAGTGCATGGATTCTGGATTCAGTGACTTGATCAGTGATAACTACCTACAAATTCCACGGTATTTTACATTTATTTTGGATGGAAACAGAAGCTTAGTTTGTTCAATATATTTAACCTTTTTTTTTTTTAAGAAAGAAAAGCTGTTAATGAATTATATATGGTCACCATAAAATGCTATACGATTTCTAACTAAACTGCATAGCACTCCCTTATAAACAAATGTTAACAAGAAGAGCCACACATTTGGCTCTAGGATGTGATTTCCTAACATACTAATAGGTATTAAACATCAGAAATTTTATAAAAATGTAAATAGGACTGGAGTACTTTTTTTAAAATAGGTAAAATATTAGTTTATTGTAGTTAAATCACATAACATAAAATTCACCACTTTAACCATTTTCAAGTGTACAAGTCAGTGGCATTTAGTATATTTACAGTTATGCAGCAATCAACCACTATTAAGTCCAGAACATTTTTATCACCCCAAGAGGAAACCCTGTACCCATTAAGCAATTAAGTATCCACCCCTGACAACCACTAATCTGCTTTCTGTCTCTATGAATTTGCCTATTCTGGGTTTTTAATAGAAATAGAATTATACATGTGGCCTTTTGTGTCTGATTACTTTCATGGCATAATATTTTCAGGACTCATCCATAAGCTAGCATGATCAATACTTCATCCCTTTTTATGGCTGAATAATATTCCTGTGTGTATGTGTGTCTGACATTATGTTTATCCATTCATGGGTTGATGTACTTCTGGCTATTACAGTAGTGCTGCTGTAAACATTACAAGGTTGTTTTTTTTTTTTTTTAAATAAATATTTCCATTCTTTGGGTATATACCCAGAAATGCGATGCTCAGTTTTATGGTAATTTGATGTAAAGCTATCTGAGGTACTACCAACCTATTTTCCATAGAGGTTATACTATTTTGCATTCCCACTGACAGTGTACAAGGTTCCAAATTCTCCCCTTCCTCACCAACACTTACTATTTTCAGTTTGTTACTGCAGTTATCCTAGTAGGTGTGGAGTGATATTGTGGTTTTAATTTGTATTTCTTAATGACTAATGATGCCAAGCATTTTTCATATGCTTACTTCTATATTTTTAGTTAATTTCTGTTTATGGTTTTTATTTTCCTCTTTTCCATGTAGATATCCTGTTGTCATGTGTCAAATTTTTTTTTATCATGAAATATGTTGTCAAACACTTCTTCAGCATCGATAGAAATGATTATATAGTTTTTCCTCAATGTATTAATGTGGTATAGTAGTTTCCAGGAGCTGCCAAAGCAAACTATCATAGGTTGAATGGCTTAAAATAAATTTTCTCTCAGTTCTGGAGACTCGACTGAGATTGTGGAGACTGTCAGTAAGAATCTGATCTATGCCTCTCTCCTAGCTTCTGGTTGTTGTTAGCAATTCTTGTCATTCCTTGGATGTACAAACCCAATCTGTTTTCATCTTCACATGGCAATTTTTTCCTGTATAATCTGTGTGTTTCTGTCCAAATTTCCCTCTTCCTATAAAGACATTAAGTCATTGCATTGGGACACACCTTAATCTACTATGACCTCACCTCAACTTGATTTTATCTGTAAAGCCCCTATTTCCAAATAAGGTCATATTCACAAGTACAAGGGTTAGGACTTGAAGGTACAAAGTTCAACCTAGTACATGACATTGATTAATTTTATTATGTTTAAGCACCTTGTATTTCTAAAATAGACCCCACATAGTCTTTGGCATATAATCCTTTTAATATGAGGCAAAAGTTGGTTTGCTTATATTTTGGTGTGTGTACTTTTACATCTTTGTTTATAAAAGCGATATTGGCCTGACAATTTTTTATGGTATCTTGGTCTGGCTTTGGTTTCAGGGAAATCTTGGCTTCATAGGATGAGTTAGGAAATGTTCCCATCTCTCTTACCTTTTGGAAGAATTTGAAAACAAGTAGCATTAATTCTTCTTTAAAAGTTGTAGAATTTACCAGTGAAGTCATATGGTCCCAGGTTTTTCTTTGTTGGAGGTTTTTGATTACCAATTCAGTATCTTTACAGAAAATGTAAAAAGATTTTAAAAGAATACTACAAATAATTGTGCATCAACAAATGAGATAACCTAGATGCAATGTACAAATCCCTGGGACACACACTACCAAAATGACTCAAGAAGAGAGAGAAAATTCATTCATGGGATAGTTCTCATGCCACCTGCCCCATAAGTCCTTCCCATTCCAAACCCAGAAATCTGATATCACCACTTCCTCTGAATCTTCATAGCCTTTTAGTCCCCTCTCATAGGAACTTAATATCTTTACGTAGTTTTTTCCTTCCCCCTTCTTGCTGGACTGGGGGATCCTTGAGGGACTCAGCCTTGTAGCCATCCTTGCCCACAGTGTGCTCAGAGCAGCAGGTACACTGCTGGAGGGACAGGGCGGGGCCTTGATGAGCAACAGAGCTAGTGGTGAAGCACTCAGCCCTTTGGAGGAGAGTCAAGAGCCTAGAAAATGAAACCATAAAGCTATATAGGCATCAGATACTTTTATTTGTATTCTAGTCATGATGTACTGTATGTAGCCTTTAACTATAAAGTGTGCCCATTGCAAAGTATACCAGTCAGTATTACTGTTTTGAATTATTGTCCCATTATTATAGTCATTGCTGTCTTTAAATGTATACCTGATTGGGGGCCTCCCCGGTGGCGCAGCAGTTGAGCGCTGGGTTGCGAAGCTGCCCATGGCCTCTGCGGCGCCAGTTCGATCCCCGGCTGCTCCCCGGCCACTGGAGGAGGGTCCCAAATGGCACGCAGACCTCTCCTGCTGCCCGCTGCTCCCCTCAGCAGTGTACCTCGGTCCTTCTGCCTGCTCTGCTCCCTGCTCTGGCTCTGGTGAATTCTCTCACCCTCCCGCGCTTCTGACTGTACCCAGTGCATGTATAAACAAAACAAACAAACAAATAAATAAATAAATAAAAACATGCCTCTATAAAAAAAAAAATGTATACCTGATTGTTAGTCCAGGATCCTCATTTCAACCAGGAGTGCAATTATTAAACGTGGAAGTTTATTAAATGATAGAATGCCAGACCTCTACCCCAGATCTGCTGGGAGGTGAGATATGGGCAATTGTAAATTTATAGATTCTACATACATTACATAACAGAAAATGGTAACCTTGGTGACCTCCAGGGGAAAGGTGAGAGGGGAACTTTTTATCCTTTTCTTTCTTTCTTTATTTATTTATTTATACAAGCACTGGATACAGTCAGAAGCGTGGGGGCGGGGGGCGGGTGCTGGTGGTGTGAGAGAATTCACCAGAGCCAGAGCGGGGAGGAGAGCAGACAGACTGATGAAATACACTGCTGAGGGGAGCAGCAGGCGTGGCAGGAGAGGTCTGCGCGTCATGTGGGACCCTCAGTGGCGGCCAGGGATCAAACCAGCGCTGCAGAGGCTGCGGGCAGCTTCGCAGCCCAGTGCTCAACCACTGCGCCACCAGGGAAGGCCCTATCCTTTTTGACTTTTGCGTTAGATCAATGTATCAAAATATTAAACATTTTAAGACTATATTATTATGCTAAAGGAACATTATGTTGTGTATATAATTTTGTATTTTGTTGTAATTTAAAGTGTGGTATAGCACTTTAAATACATTCATTTTTAATATATTTCTGTATTATATATAGAAAATGGATATGGATAGGGAATTACTGATTTTCCTCAATAAGGAATTATCTAGGGCTCTGTATATTTTACAAATACAAGAGACACATGTCGAATCCATTTTGTCCTTGGCAAAAATCCTCGAAAATTAGGATGGTTAAGGCATGGAGCAACAACAAAAGGCCATGATTTGTTTTCAGACACCAAGTGTATAAAATTGGATTTTAAAGGTATATTTGCAAAACATTCAAAGTACAATTATTATGCATTTCTTGTCCTAAGTTTTTGTTGTTTATGTTTCAGGTGTTTGTCGCCAGTCCTCACAAAACACAGCCTATTGTGGAGATTCTATTAAAAAATCAGCCCAAGCTCATTGAATTCCTGAGCAGCTTCCAAAAAGATAGGACAGATGATGAGCAGTTCACTGATGAAAAGAACTACTTGATTAAACAGATTCGAGACTTGAAGAAAACAGCCCCTTGAAGATCTCACTCAGATTTCTGCCATACTCACTGTCTCCTTTGGTGTTTGTACAAAAGTGTCATTTCAAACAGTAATCGTTCTTGGGAAGGGTAGATGGAATATAAATATTTGAATGAAAAAAATTAATCTAGAACAATATATTCATTTTAATCAAGTCTGTGATTATTTATGTGAAATCAGAGCCATTATATGAGACACTGATAAAAGCAATTTTAACCCTTTTTTTGACAAAAAGCATCAGGGCCGGGGCTTGCAGGCCTGAGCCCCTAGTCACCATGCGCCACGAAGCAGAAGCCCACGTGGTGAACATCCTGAGTCCTCAATGAAAATTAAGTTATCAGAGAAATGGGCCCTGGGGCAAGAGGCACAAAATGATTCTGCCTATCTGCACTTGACGGATATATTTCTTAAAGCATAATGAAAGAGCTGAAAATAACACTCATGTTTTCAGTCATATACCCGTTCCCTGCCCCTATCTGTTGACTGTAACTAACCTCCCTTCTCAGCCTTCCTTTCTGCTCTCTGCCCCACATTCCATTCCTGCAGATCTCCTCAGCACGCCTGACTCATGCTACACATACCCCGCTCCTTCCTGCAGTCAGGTTAGCATGCAAGTAAAATAAACTAAGTAAAATAGGATGGCTAAACAAGGGTCACAGTACCTAGAGGATGACCTTTGGGGTATGACAGCTCACTTCAGACTTGGACAGTTAAGAACCACAGCTCCACCTCTAGTCACTGCTGTTTCATGCCAATTTCTGCAGGGTTAGTGAATGTTTGGAACATTTCAGTCACAATTGTCATCTTGGGGGAAATTTTTGTTTTGTGGTGAAGTTGTATTTTAGAGTAGGAATCATTGCACTGGGATGCCTAGCATGGATAAAACCATGGGGCCAGCACTGGTCTTTAGCCCACTTTTATAAGGAAACAGGTTGCACTGGTCTTTAGCCCACTTTTATAAGGAGACATTCCCATTAGAAGGGCTAATGATGGAGTGCATAAAAATATTCTCAAATTGCAAATTGTTTTTCAGTTTATTTTCTATCACTACTTTTTCATCAAAACCTTTAGTGACAAGGTAGAAAACCTGATAAAACTGGTCCCAAATTTCTCGCAAACTAGGATGATTAAGGCATGGAGCAACAACAAAAGGCCATGATTTGTTTTCAGACACCAAGTGTATAAAATTGGATTTTAAAGATATATTTGCAAAACAGTCAAGGTACGATTATAAATCTGTTGTTTTTTTTTTTCCATAAGTCTGTATATACAGATCATTAGTTGTTGCCTTTCAGAAGAACTCTTGGTTTTTACAAATTGGGTGCTGTGTTCTTCGACCAGATGTTTTTCCACCTGGAGGGGGAGAAAGCTCCCTTCAGGAATCCTTCTCCAGCATCGGTACGCTCGGTTGATACTGCAGCTGAAGGATTACCTGGCAAGGTTTCATCCTTCCTGGCTGGGGCACAGACACTTGTTCCCTGCCCAGCTTGGATCCTGAAGCAAGTGATGTGAGAGCTGTGGACCTTGTAACAGCTCTGGCCATGATGGCCTTCACTCTTTACTCACTGAAGTCAGATCATTTTTATAACATTCCCTGACAGTCCTGAATCCCTTAGAATTTAACTTCTCTGGTTTTGCTTCTTTGATAAAAAGAATCAACAGGCCTGTAACTGTTGGACATTTAGTTGGTTGCTTAATACTGTTCCACAACAGTGTCATGGGACACATGTTTTCAATTGGAAAGCAAGGCTTTGTTTTAATTCTTTTTTGATAAATAAAACATTTTATTTCCTCTGGACTTGAGTTAGTTTTTTCCTAGCAACCCCTTAGCCTAGTTTACTGTCAAACAGAAAACTGAATCTGAGGCAATAAATGAAAACAAATTTATAAATTATTAACATGGAAGGGGGAGCAAGACACAGCCAAAATATGTTTGCACGAAATTCAATGCAAATATTGAGAACTGAATTTTAAAAAGGTCATATTTCATAAATTATTTCCCAAGCACACATTTAAATAAAGACTAAATAAAAAGATGCCACATACTCCGTAGTCAGTTTCATTCCTGAGCTTGTGTCTCATCCTTGTCACCACACCAAAAGGAAAGCCTCAGGTGAGGCCAAGGTCCTCTCAGTGGAGGTCCCGTGTGCTCTGCTAACTCCTGGACCTGTTGCTGCCCCATCCTCCAAGCGGTGCTGCCGCTGATGACGCACTGCTTGCCAGACTAAATATTCACGCCACATAACTGATGCCGCCCCACTGCCAGAGTCAGTCCCATTTTATACTTGAGGAAACTGAGTCTCTGAGCAGATTATCCCAGACTATGTGGGCAAGACCTGGGATACAAGTCACCATGGCCTGAAGCCAAACTCTGTTCTTTCTCCGTCTTTCGTCATCAAGGCTGTGAACTGGAAAGTTCAGGAGGATGTCTGTACTAGGTACACTCCCCCACTGTGGCCTGGGAGGCTCCTGAGGGCGTTCAGGTCCGAGCGTGAAGCCAGCAGGGATTGAGATCATAATGTTCTTGGACAAGGCTCTTGGCTAAAGCCAGGCATCCGCCCAAACATTAGGATTACCCTCAGAGAAAAGACTGAGTGGCATAAGGCCCTTGTTCTGACTGCCAACCTCCATGGGTTCTCATCCTTAGAGGCCCCAAGGGAGCAATGTATGCTGGGGAGGGGCAAGTGAGTTTTTCAAAGCCTCTGTGACTAACTGCACTGGGCTGTCTGTACGAGACGTGACTGCGCTCAGCCATGGTGCAGTCTGGAAGGTACCCAGGACCCAGAAGTGTAATAAAGGGAAGGGGAATGAAATTTTAAAAACCACTAAAATTGCTTTGAATATGAAATCTTTTGCTTTACACATCTTTTTTGTCTATATTAGAAGAAATTAAGATTTTTATATTTTTCTGTTTTATCCCAAAGAATATTGTATGTATGGCACAAATAGTCACCATCCTTCCAAGTGTGTTCTTTCAGGGAGGGTCTGGATATTTCAGTGAAGTCCCATAATCAAATAAAGGTCTGAAATATACAGAGACTGAAAAACTAGACTTAGTCTTTCAAAGAAGATTGAAGTGATTGAAGATGAGTATGAACAAGACGATGGTTTTACTTTTGAAATACAGAAAGTGCTGTTAACATAGTTCCCATAAAGCAAAGTATGAAACAAAAGGAAAAAACCTGGCCCACACTGAGCCGCTTCACACAGCTCACTGTGTCAGCCATCAGTGAAGGAGGACACCGAGTTACACAAGAGTGTGAACGGTTTGCTCCAGATCAAGCAGCTGGCAGGCAGCATAGCCGGAATTTAGAGCTAACTGATCCCAAATTCCCTGTCGCTGGGAGTGAGGCTGCATATCCTGCCACCTCCCACCAAGCTCTCCACCCAGGGGACCAGACACTTCATTCATCATGGTCCCCAAGGAAAAGAGGGAACTCTGGATAACTCAATGGAAAGATTTCAAAAACAAGATTCATTTACAGGGGCTAATTTTGTGCCACTCGGATGTCTGATCTTGGAAGATCAAATTAGACCTGTGTGTAGGGTATGGAATTCGGTCTTGAAATTTCTTTGGCATTTTAAGCAATCCCTTGACTCTACATAGGTGTTAATTTCAGACTGCAATTCTGCAGCTGCTTTTGTTTTCTTGGCTTATTTTTCCAGTGGAACGTAACATCAGCTCAGATTTCCTGATAGGAGTGCTTGCTACCCAGCCAGCCATTCCTGCACTTCACATTCCTCAGTGGCACTGCCCTATCAGGCGGTTCCTGATCAATGCAGATCTGAGTCCTCCCAGGCTCACCTAGTCCCTCATTGCACTCCCAGGGAGGAGGGTGTGCAGTTACCGGTTCCTTTCTAAAGCCAGAACCCCTTACCATCAACTCAACATCAATTGTATTTAATCACTTCACTAGGCTGTTGCTTCAGGAAGCTGTGATCCTAGGGGCCATTTCGGAGAAAGTATAACACACGTTTATCCTTTGGGGAAGGTAGGGACAAGATGAGTTCCCCTAGGTTTGGTTCTTCTGCGAGTCAAAGGCTGAAGCAACCAAAATATTTACTTATTCAACTGCTTGTTATTTTACTTCAGCCACTGAACTCATCCTACCTGCTCACTAGGGATTGACCAAGGGAACAGAAAATGGCGTTGTACTCTTAGGGGTTTTGTGGTCATGGAGCTGGTAACTGCCCTCTCTAACCCATCCCTTGCATCTGGCACCATGCCTGAGCCAGCAGAGTAGGGAAGAGGGACTTGAAGTCCCTCTTGAGGAAGAGCTGGAGTGCCTGGAGATCATCGGTGACCCACAAGGCCCTCTGTCTTCCAGCCTCCACCTTGGAGAATGTGGCTGACTCAGAACGGCACAATTCACACAGAGCTCTCTGGGCTGAACCCAGATTCAGAGAAGCTGAAGGAGGAGATACAACAAAGCCATGGGGCTCCCGAAAGCAAGGGGAACTAGCAGATGTTGCAACAACCTTCGAGCTGACCTTCCTAGCATGAATGTGGCTATCACTTACCATCCCTTTCAACTCTGACAACTTTCTCTTGACGCCAACTCTAATTCACTTACCATTCCAGAGAGGAAATTCTGAAACACGTTCAAGCTTAGCTAAATTGACACATTTCAAGCCCAACCTTATATTCTGTTCTAGGGGAATGGTTTCCATGTCCTTTTAATGTCTTTCCTCTCCCAGAGATCTCTGATTTTCCTCTTAAATGAGTTGAGTGTCTTGTGTGGCATCAGTAGAACCACATCAACTTTGGGGACAGCCACACCTCAACTTTATTCCAGCTCCACCACTCACTCTGTGAGCTTGAGAACCACTGAGCTTCAGTGATTTTCTGCCTGTGAAATGAAACAAAAAGTTCTGCCTCGCAGAAGGTTGTGGAAATTACATAAAGTATTGACTCGCTGGCTCAGAAGGTATTCCTAGGTCAATTACTTCAGAACCCTGAAGGGTTCTCTGCCAGCGGGAGAGGGGATTTTACTGAAAAATGGACTCTGAGCCAAAGGACCCCCCAGGGCATGAAGCATGGGTGGCTGAGAATGATGAGCCATGTGCCCAAGGGAATGCTGTGTGGACACAGGGAGGGGCATGTGGAATGCCTCCCTGAGGACCTGATGTCATTAAGGCAGCTGGCTTTTAAACAGAAAATGACATGCAAACCTACATGTCTGAGCAAGGAGTTCTGGAGGAGTGCAGCTAGCAGAGGACGCTGAGCAAGAACAGCTACTTGATTAGTATCTGGGTAGGTCTTCTAGATGCTTCCAAAGTACCAAACTCAATCCTTAGAAGCACCCCACAAGGTGTGTGTCATTATCCTGACATCGCAGGTGTGGAAATGGAGGCACAAAGAGGGTCCCTCGCCCAGGACAGTATCATGAGCACATGGCAGAGCAGGATTCAAACCCAGAGCCCAGAGGCAGAACCCATGAGATATTTTGGACTAAATCTTGACTGGCTATAGGCTGCACCAGTTCTAGCAGATAAGGCAAGCAAGTGGGTACCCAACAGGACTAAGGACGAAGGGCAGAGCCACATGACCAGTAGTGAGTTCAGCTCTGAGCGAGTTGTGTCCAGACATATGAGGTTGTCCAGGCAGCAACTGGACAAATGTGTCTGAAATCAAAAGGCATTGATTTGATGGTTCCTGAGATTTAGGAGCAACTGTAGTCTATGTGAGAGGGAAGCACTCCATTCTGAGCTGTGATACAGGCCTGCAAACCGCCCACTCTCATCTGTTTTCATTTGTATTTAACCGTATCTGTAGCAACCTCCGACTTGAAGACTCTCCTCCCCTCCCAGTGGAGGCTCAAGAGGAAACCACAGTATCCCTCCCCCACAACCTACTCCTTTTTTCAGTTAGGGGTGAGTGCTGTACCTCTGGGCACTCCCACGACCTCCCTGACAGCCATCAGGTTCTGTCTGGATCTCCCCCAGTCTGAGACTGCAAGGTCGCCCCAGAGGACTTCTGACCCAGGTATCTGTGTCAGCTGCAGCTGGTCATAGAGAGGTTTGCTCACCCCATGACCTCTGACGTCAGCCTGGCCTCATGACCTCTGACATCAGTCTGCCACAGCCTTTTTTAAAAGGGACAAAGGGTGTTGACCTCTGGGCCAGGACCTCATTGTTTCCCCCAGATGCTGCCTTTGAGAGGTCCTGATCAGGACCCCGGCCTCAGAATCAGACCATGATTCTACAGTCCCGGGACCTGGGGAAAGAGGCCGCTACCTGCAGACTGGTGCTCCTGCTGTGGGGAAAGAAGCCTGCAGCTTTCCTGGCACTGAGCATGCCATTCACATGGCCAAGAGCCGGCCTGTCTGCATGAATGAGACTCTGTGCTGCCCAGGGTGTGGGAGGAAGAAGGCAGAGGGCGTGCCTGCAGCTGCCTGGCAGCGTCTGGCAGCACCAGTCGCCCTTCACCTTGACCAAGGACAGTTTCCAAGGAGAGTGACTTTTGTGGGTGGTCAGTTTGCTGAGCCTTTCTGCATCCAGGCGGAGCACATACCTGAGTAGCCAGGAAACTGGTTCCAGGCGAGGGGGATGAGGGGCCGCTCACATCATCACCTTTTGGAAAGACTCTGAATCTAGTCCTGGCCTAATGGCATGGAGCCAGGCTCTAGGCTGAACCGCTTGCAGAAAAGCTGTGCTGAGCTCGTGGGCCACCTCACTGGAGACAGCCTTCTGGGGTACTTGCAGTCCCTGCTCCTCCCAGAGTCTAATGCTCTTGGTCCTCTGAGCTCTTCTCTGTGGCCCCTCCCAGCCCCAGGAGGCAAGCCCACTCACCATGGAACTGCAGCGTCCTGGGGTCCCCCACCTTCCTCCCAACCCCGATGCAGACTGTGGGGTTCATGCAAGTGCAGTGAGCCTGAAGCAACCACCAGAAGGAGCACACCATCGAGCCCTTCTTTCCTCCTCACCTCCACCGGGGGCTGCCGACCACCAGGAGAAACCAGCCCTGATGAGTCAGTCCATTACCCCAGATTCACAGCCTCTGCTCCCAGTCTTGGAGCATCTCTGTGGGGCCTCCTGAGGAAGCTG